AGAAGCACTTCTTCGGCCGCGGTGGGATTCTCTGGATCCTCAATCTTAATTTTGGTTTCTACCATCTTCCACACTCTTCTATTGGTTGACTTGATATGTGTGGTCATCTTTGATTTCCAATATGGATAATTTGTGCTATCAAATTAGGGTGGCTTCTTGGTGTTGTTGATTTGAGCTATTTTTACACCGAAGGTTGTTAAGCCTCAAATCACGGTGACCTCGGCTCTGATACCACTTGAAAGGTCTTAATGGCTAGAGGGGGGGATGAATAGCCTAATAAAATTTCTACAACAACACTTAACAAAAGGATTAGACAATTATGAGGCGAAGCGAGTTTTGCGCTAGCCTACCAAAATGCGAGCCACCTACCACAATTCTAGTTTAGATAGTATCTATTCACACAATAGCTATAACACTACCCTATGTTAGTGTGCTCTCAAAAGCTAACTAAAGAGCCACACCAACCAAGCAAGCAAGCTCTCACAATTAACTACACTAAAGAGCTTGACAACTAGTTTGCGGTAATGTAAAAAGAGTGATCAAGAAAGTTATACCATCGGGTAGATGAAGGAACCAATCAATCACAAGGATGAATAACAATGAAGACCAATCACCTCGGAATCAATGAAGAACACAATGATTTTTACCGAGGTTCACTTGCTTGCCGGCAAGCTAGTCCTCGTTGTGGCGATTCACTCACTTGGAGGTTCACGCGCTAATTGGCTTCACACGCCAAACCCTCATTAGGGTGCCACACAACCAACACAAGATGAGGATCACACAAGCCACGAGCAATCCACTAGAGTACCTAAATGCATATGCAATGAGTTAGAGCATCTAGTGGCACTTTGATAACCGCATTCCGATACGAGTTTCACCCCTCTTCATAGTACGGCTATCAATCCTAAATGTGATCACACTCTCTAAGTGTCTTGATCACCAAAACAAAATAGCTCATACAAATGATACCTTTTGCCTTGAGCTTTTTATTTTTCTCTTTCTTCTTTTCAAGTCGAAGCCCTTGATCATCACCATTGCATTGCCATTGTTATGCTATGATCTTCATTTGCTCCGCTACTTGAAGTGTGCTACCTATTTCATGATTACTTGATAAACTAGGTTAGCACATAGGGTTTCATCAATTCACCAAAACCAAACTAAAGCTTTCAAGTAGACTTGGGTGCCCTCGCATAGTATGGGAAAGAACACAGGACAGCGCATAGGATGCCGTGAGCAGTCACCGTACGTACGTCCACACCACTAGGGCAAGCTATCAGGAATATGGAACAAGCAAAAGTGCCCAACATGCACCCATGTGGGCTTGTGGCCAATGTCCAAAGTGGCATCGTCTTCGATGCGTGATGACTAGGTTATACACCCACGGTTGTGGACTTGTGGTCGTCCGTCCTGAGCCCACGACACAAAATGATCTTTCTGTGTTGCTGCTACACTTCTCTTTTATGTGGAGATGCAACTGCTCTAGGTAAAATTTTCGGGTTTTCTTTCTTTCTTGGTGTATTATATTATAGAACTAGCAAGGAGACCCGTACAATTAATGCTGGGCTAGCTTCTTCCTCTTCTTCTTTTTTTTTTACGGTATGATGCATACATTGATGGTCATATATAATGGATATAATATATCTACTGTGCACGACTCTTTGCACCTTTTTTTTTAAAAGAGAAGACTGATCCTTGATAATGCTAAAGTTATCGTGGACTCTTAGTGAGTTAGATCTCTGAAGATAGCCACAACAATCCAATATTTCCGTGAGAATCTTAGTGAGTTGAATCTTAGAGCAATCCTAAGAGACTTTTTTACATGTTTTATAATTGATAGGAATAGAGATTTGATAAAAAAAAATTACCCTCTAACAGTTTCTTTAATTCGTTATCTAAATATAGCCATCCACTATTCTGAATTTCTCACTAGTCAAAGATAGAAGGAGAATAGCTCTTTAGAGTGTGCACAATATATAGAAATATCTGTTGGAGAATAGAAAAAATTTAGATAACGATTTTGGTACAAATGACTCTCTCTCATATAATAATAATAATAATAATAATAATAATAATAATAATAATAATAATAATCTAAAAAGTGTGTTTTAGAAAGACTTAGAGATGCTCATTTTGGGTAACGGGGTACACTATGCATTGTCTTATCACGCTGATCCTATGACTCCGGCGAAAGACGTTGAGGTTGCTTAAGGAAGTAGTAGTCCTTTATGCCAGTGATAAAATTCGAATATATTCTAACAACAACACGCACAAGAAAGAAAAAAAAACAAAAATCTGCCGAGAGCAGCTGCGTCTTCATATAAAAGGGAACGGTAGCAGCCATTTATAAAGATTCTTTTGTGCAGTAAGCTCAGGATGGATGACCACACAAAGTGGAACCTACTCACACGTGTAGCATACCGTATGAGCGCCATGCATGGGGGCCAAAGGTCTCGACATGCCATCGCCATCTGAGATGCCGCTTTGGACCGCGGCCACATGGAGGTTTGGCGCTTTTGCTTGTTCCATACTATTCCTGATAGCCCCAGTACGTGGCGGGTGCCTGCTCACCGCATGTGCGCTGATCGTTGTTATCCAGAAAACGTTGTACTGTTCGCTTGGCTAATAAGCCATGGCTGAAAATACTGTTGGCTGATTTATTATAAGAGAAAATATTATTCGTCGATAAAAAAAAAAATACGCTCATAAACCAAGCGAAGAGGCCTCTAGCTTCCCGGAATACTATGCAGCGGGGGGAGCCGCTGTTTATTCATTGCGAGCCATTCTTACATTTCCTTTACAAGACGTGTTGACCTCATGCATTGTTTGGGTGGCACCTGGACAATGGTTCGGATGCGGGTCTGTTCAGGGCCTTACTCGCTCCGCGTGTTTCCCTTTCACCGCGCCGATTGGAGGGCCCCGCACGAAGGTGAGCTCCTGGCGACGTGGCACTCCGGCCCATGCCACGCCGTCGCCGGTCGTCGTCCCTTGCCTGAGGACATCCACAATTACAGGGAGCGCGGATCGTTGCGGCGTTCCGGATCGCAGAACCGGACGGCGCGGTACGGTCGCAGGAACGTGCCTGGGACGAGAATTGGGACGGCGTACCAAAATAAACCGGATCATCAAGAGAAAAAGGAGCAAGATAGATGATCTAAATCCCCATTCTCACGGAGAACAAACTTACAGGGACTTCATCGAACGGCGGCGGCCGGCGGCAGCGCGATGCAGTGGCCGTGGGTGTGGGCGGCGGTGGCGGCGGTGCGATGCAGTGGCCGTTGGCGGCGCGGCGGCGCAGCATCGCAGCGTCTTTCGGCGGCGGCGCTGGGAGCAATGCTTGGACTAAGTAATGAGCGAGCAAGCGAGCACAACTTCACACCTAACGTAAACGGGCCTCCACCATCCAGCCCAGTGTGAAATAATGGCAAAAAAAAAAAAGTTCTAAAAATCAGGGAAAATGGCAAAAAAAAACCTACATAGAAGTTGAGTTGAATAGCATTTGGAATAATGAACCATTTATGTTAATTGTAAGTGGGAAATATATTTGAAGAATAAAAACTGTAGTTTGTTTTTGTTTACAAAGTTATTATTTGTGTTTAACTAGTGAACATGCACGTGCGGCACGCACGTGTCTAAAAAACATTTGTAGTTTTTATTTGCCATTGTCCAGCTTGTCTGTAGTTATCATCTTAAGTATATATGCGTTTGAAATATTTGAACGTGTAATTATTACAGTGGGACTCTGTGGTCCTTTTCAGCCGTGAAACCTAATGAAATCAAAACATAAACAGTTTTTTTTTTCTAGTCAGCAAAGAGAAGAACAATTTTTTTAGACTTATATTCAAGGTTGAATATTAGTCGAAAAGAACAGTTTTGCTTTCTTCTATTTCTTTTTGTTGTAAAGAAGCTCACCTCTTTGAAGAAGTCATCTGACAGAGCGACCATGATGCCGGCACCGTCTCTTGTGTTGTTCTCGCCATGAGCAAAATTGGTATCCCGAAAGTGGTAAATCAAAATAATGTTTAACTACTTGGCGTTTAGAAATTTATCAGGTGAAGAATCATAGGAAAGAGCAGAGTAATACAAATGAATCACATGTGGGATTTGAATCATAAAACACAAAATAAGAATTGTCATACGCCTCTGTCATCATTATTATTGACTGTTGTAAAGCTAGTGTTATAACTGGAACAGACAACCAGGTTAATCAAAGGAAAACTAAATGATTACTTGCTACCTTAAAAATTTTAGCAATGTGCAGGAACAACGAAATTCCCTACACCCATCGTAGCTGATCTTCTTTCAAATTCTCTCTGGTTTCAATGTCCCTAGCAATCCTTTGGCGACTTGTGTCGTTTTAACAGGAGAAACCTTTCTACCAAGTATATATATGTGTTTATCTCATTCAGATTCTTCTGATTTCCTAGAAACACAAAGCAGCAGCTGAGTGATGGTACTGGAATTTACCGATTTGCAATTAGGAAGCAGCTCATCACATCGTAAAATGGGACGGTGACACGTCGTTAGTTTTGGAGCTCAATGGTACATCTAAGAATCAGACTGCGATATTAGTTCGGACTTCGGAGCTACAGTACTAAGATGTACGGTACATGTGGAATGAGACGATGAAACGAATCGTCGCCATCCATCTGCATCGCAGTTGAGTCAGTGACCACAGCACGCATACGCATCGCCCGGTGTTGACGCAACGGACGCAGTACGCTCCATTGGCCACCTAGCGGTGGCGAGACGGCAGCGTTTTGTACGCACCCCGCCCGGTGCCGGCCGAGTCGGCACCCACCAGCCCACCGGTCGGCCGCGCCACGTCCTTACCCCCTGTCGCTTCCGGCGATCGTCCGGCCCGAACCACTCTCTCGCAAACCCACGAAATGACAAAAGCGCCTCCACTTGCGCACCCCACACTTCCCGCTCTACATGACCTCACCTCACGGCGCGGTTCACACTTGTCACCCGCACCACTCCACTCCTGCCATCAGCCACCCATGGCGTCCGAGGCCGCGCCGCGGGTCGTGGACGAGTGCCGGGGCGTGCTGTTCGTGTACAGCGACGGCTCGGTGGTGCGGCGCGCGCAGCCGGGGTTCGCGACGCCGGTGCGGGACGACGGCACCGTGGAGTGGAAGGACGTGACGTTCGACGAGGCCCACGGGCTGGGGCTCCGCCTGTACCTTCCCCGGGATCGCGGGAGCGGCGGGCGGAGGCTGCCGGTGTTCTTCTACTACCACGGCGGCGGGTTCTGCATCGGGTCCCGCACCTGGCCCAACGTCCAGAACTACTGCCTCCGCCTGGCCTCCGACCTCGGCGCGTTCGTGGTGGCGCCGGACTACCGCCTCGCGCCCGAGCACCGGCTCCCCGCCGCGCTCGACGACGCCGCGGCGGCGGTCCTGTGGCTGGCCGCGCAGGCGAAGGAGGCCGGCGCCAACGGGGTATCCGTGGGTCGCCGACGCCGCGGACCTCGGCCGGGTCTTCGTGTCGGGCGACTCGGCCGGCGGCACCATCGCGCACCACCTCGCCGTGCGGTTCGGTTCCCCCGCGGCGCGCGCGGAGCTGGCCCCCGTCACCGTCCGCGGGTACGTCCAGCTCATGCCCTTCTTCGGCGGCGTGGAGCGCACGCTGTCGGAGGCCGAGTGCCCCGACGACGCCTTCCTCAACCGGCCCCTCAACGACCGCTACTGGCGCCTGTCGCTGCCGGAGGGCGCCACGGCCGACCACCCCGTGTCCAACCCGTTTGGCCCCGGCGCGCCCGCGCTGGACGCCGTCGAGTTCGCTCCAACCATGGTCGTCGTCGGCGGCCGCGACATCCTCCACGACCGCGCCGTGGACTACGCCGCGCGGCTCAAGGCTGCGGGGAAGCCCGTCGAGGTGCGGGATTTCGACGGCCAGCAGCACGGCTTCTTCACCATCGACCCGTGGTCCGACGCCTCCGCCGAGCTCATGCGCGTCATCAAGCGCTTCGTCGACACCGACGGCCGCTTCGACTGAACGGAACCGCCCATCGACCCGCGATCTAGACACTCTCGTGTTCGTTACCTACCTCGAAGATCATATCATAGTGGAAAATGCACGCGACAACGACACATGTTGATCGCAGTCGAACTCTAGTGTTAATCTGGCATTCTGCCAACCAGCCTCAATTGCAATTGAACCGGAGTTGCTTCTGTCTGCGTCCAGGTCGGCGCGTCAGTGCCGCGCCGTGGGCTATGGCGCGGCAGAACCTAGGCTTAGAGTTGCATGGTCTATCGCGCCACCGATCAGGCGCGTCACTGCCGCGCTAAGATCGGTGGCACAACAGACCCTGCCACGTCACCGGTCAGCGCCCCGGTCGTCGTCACGTTATCGCTCTCGCCGCGCCACCATACATAGTGCGGCACAAGCGTTTCGCCGCGCCAGGAAAATAGGCGCAGGCAAAAGTGCTAGTTTTACAAAAAAAAAAAAATTAAACAACGTTAGATTTAAAATTAGTTTAAAAAAAGTGTTAAAAAAAATTCTCGTAGCATAAGAAATGGTTTGGCTGGTCTTTTCTATAGTTGAACACATAGCGAAAATAATCTTGTATGGTGACCTTCACACTGGCGTTCTTACCACTTGCAGTGACACCGTTATAAACCACACCAACCTGGGACCCACGTTCACCGTAAGGAAATAGGAGAGGGTACGTGCTGCAGAGCCATAAAAGCAGGATGCAAAAGAAGAAATGTGCTGCAAATTACCGGATCTGGCCTGCACAACTATATCATGCTGAAAAGTGTCGAGGAAAAAATCTCCAACAACAAACATGGCTAGCTGATCGGTGGTGGGGCAGGTTGTACTGAACTGGATCACCCTCGCTTGCCCCTATGATCCTGATTATGAATTCTTCATCGCCATTTTCTGCTAGCCTATCCCTTGCCAATGGGTTGTGAGTGTCCAACATGTCTAGCAATTGGCCAATGAGCGGCGGTTCTAAAGGCTTTGAGGGACGCTTATCTGGATATAAGGCACGTATTCTGTTCCTCATCTCATTAGCAATATCATATATGTAGAGTTAGATAAACTTTGGAGGTTCTCCATTGCCTGGAAGGAGGGATCCTATACAATGGTGGATCTGGCCAGATATCTTAAACACATGGGGACCCCGGCCATCATTCATAGACTTATCTATGTTTGCACCCATTGATGTAAAAATAGAGGCAAAAAGGAAAACGATTTGAATGTCAGACACATCTGTTAAACGACAATCTCATCTCGAGGTACGGAACTACAAAACTACAATCGTTGAGGAACCATACCTACGCGAACGCCACCGGCGTCAGCAGCATGCGTCGAGCGCAGGTCCACCGTAGGCCCGGCGTCAGCCGTCCGAGTCCCTCCGTAGGCGCACCGCCGCTCCCCTATGACACAGATACGCTGAATCCCCGGGGCCCCTTCAACACCTAACACCTAGAACCCACGCATCGCGAGCCGCACGGAGAGGAGCAGCATCAGACGCAGGGAAAAAGGAAGAGAAAGCGAGGACGCCGAGAGGTCGGGGTGCTCACTTCGCCCAGCCAGCAGGACAGAAGGTGGAACAGAGGCATGCGTGTTTCTTTATTCAAGCTGAGTGGATGGGGCAGGCGGCACATCCATCGACGCGGACCACCCTTGCCCCAGCCGCTAACGTGTCGCTGATCCGCGGCCCTCCTCCTTTTCTCTATACTAGGCCTTGTTTAGTTGCTTCTAACTCTTAACTTTATCACTATGTAAAAAAAAGATTCTCAGTCATATCAAATTTATAGTATATGTATGGAATACTAAATGTAGACGAAATAAAAAACTAATTGCATAGTTAGGTTAGTACTTTACGAGACGAACGTTTTAAACCTAATTAGTCAACGATTGAACAATTATTACCAAATACAAACGAAATGCTACAGTGCACTATAGTGCGCACAGTAAATCCGTCGGCGCCAAATTTGACCAAACTAAAGAAGGCCTAGGCGTGCGCTGCAGAGGAGGCTTTTTTCCCCGAAAAAAGCGTTGTTCCTTTTCGCCGAATGGAGCGCCACAGGCGCCAACCGTTTGGCCCGCTGCAACTGGGACCCGTGTACCTCCTAGGCCGACAATGACCACACTATCCTTTTTTCTAATGCAACGACGCACGAGGTAGACATCTAGGCACTGCAGGTGGGGCCGCTATATCCTAAACCAATGGCAACTCGACAACGGCCACCAATGCCCAGCGCGAGGCAGAGAAGGCCAGCAGAGTGGGGGCCATTTGGCCTTACCTTTTTTTTCTCCGGAGGAAGAGGTTCACACTTAGGCACTGCAGGTGGGCCGCTGTACCTCAAACCAATCGCAGCTGGACAACCGCCGCAAGCAGTGCCGGACCTGGGGGGGGGCGCAGCTGGCCCTCAATGCCAATGGCCGTTTGGATACTCTAAGCGCAAGCAGAGATTAGTTTAAATTTGGACCTGAGGGGATATAAGGGTTAAAATGATAATAAATGTGCTTTTCAAATCATTGGTGCTGGTGAAAGTAGAGAGAAAACAGTGGATCCCACCTCAAATAGCCCCAACTAGCCCAAATAATCACCTCTTTGGGGGATAGTTTTTTAGGATAGGCTAGTTGCAAATAACCCACTCTAGCCCTCCTGTTTGGCTACTTTAGAGCTAGTTGAGCTCCAACTAGCCTAAACTAGCTCTAACCCATGGATCCAAACAGGGCCAATGGCCCCCCTAGTATATGTTAGTACGTAGTGGTTTTTTTTTTGAGAAACACGTTAGTACTACCTTCGTCCGTAAAAGAATACAATTTTGGGAATCAAGGCGGTGAAAATAGCTCACGTTTGACCAAGTATATGGTAAATAATATTAGCATTTATGTCTCCAAATAAATTTATTATGAAAAATATTTTATAACTAATCTAATGGTACTTATTTTGTCTCATTAGTATTAGTACGTTCTCATTTAATTTTAGTCAAAGTTTAAACCGTATGTCTCCTCGAAATATGATAATTGCATTCTTTTATGGACGGAGGGAGTACGTAGTAGTCGATCTGGGCAAAAATAACCGAGAACCGAACCGAAATAACCGGAACCGAAACCGAAGTAACCGAAACCGAAATATTCGGTCCCAAGTTCGGTTCAAGGTTCTGAAGAACCGAAATTACTATGGTTATTTCGGTTCTAGTGCTCGGTTCACCGAAATAACCGAACTAAGTCTAAAGGCCCATAAGAATATGGCCCAGCCCAATACAGAGGTACCCTAGGTATAAATTCCTCGCTGCCCCGCCGCTCCCCACTCCCCTCCCTCCTCGGCTCCTCGCTGCCCCGCCGCTCCCCACTCCCCTCCTCCCCTCCTCGCTGCCCCCAATCCTGCCGCTCCCCACTCCCCTCCCCTGCCCGTGAAGGCGCGAAGGCTAGCCGCGGCGGCGGCGCATCACACGGACGCGGAGGCGAAGCGCTTCTCCCTTTCCCTCCTTGTCTCAACTCTTAGATCCGGCGGCTCCGCCGCTCCGGCATGGCCCCGTGCCTCCCTCTCTTTCATCCTGCATCTGACGACAGCATCATGTGAGATAGGGACCCGCGCGGCGGCGAGCAGGGCGAGGCAAGCCGTACGACGGTGAGCTAGGCAAGCGGCGCAGCGGTGAGTAGGCGAGGCGCGGGTCACAGGTGAGGTGGTGTGCACCACGCAGGGCCGCAGGCGCGGGCAAGCAAGGAGATGTGTTTTTCGATTTGTAACCTAGAAACCGATGCTTTGTTCTTCATCTCTGCTGGAATTAGTGATTTATGTTGCTCTTGTAACTTGGATGTGCGATTCTGTGAATTTTTTTTCTCTGTTCCTAGCACCTCGGTTAGTTCGGTCATAACCGGACCCGAACCGAATTAACCGAAACCGAATTTGGTATGTTCCTAGATTTCAAAAGAACCGATCGGTTACTATTTCTTAAGGATCCGAATTTGTCAAGAAACCGAAGAACCGAACCAATCGGTTTCGGTTAACCGAATGCCCAGGGTGACCTAGTAGTAGTATTTAGAATATTACTTGGCCCAAGACCGACAAGCCAACACGTTGATCTTTAGGCATTGAGCCCAGTAGGCCTCATGTCATCCTCGCCTAGCCCAGCAAGGCAGCGCCGATGCCACTTTGGCTTGAGCAGGCGACGGCTACGTCTGCATGCGTATAATTCGGTTCAACGATTCGCTTGCAAGTATAGATGGCCATCGGCATGGCATGGGCACGGGCCAGGCACGGCCCGCGGGGTGTTTGGCCGGCACGGCACACCGTGTCTCTGCGTGCCTCGTGGCTGGCCTTCGGCCTATGCATGGCACTATGGGCTAAAATTCGTGCCGTGCCGGCCTATTGAGCCTAGGCAAAACTACGGGCCGTGCTAGCCCATAGCCCGGTGACCTCAAAACATATAAAAAAATGCACTCTTCAAACACTTATCAAATTTCATAGTTGTTGTCATAGAAAAGTTATAGAGATTGAATTCTCTCGTTCATTCACAATTCACAAGTCACAACTCAAATAAAACAACAATCTGTGAACTGTCAAACACTTAACATGGAGCCACAGGAGAATTTAAAAGATAAATGAGTTGTTTCTGCAATGCTGCCTCATTAAAAATCTTTCTAGATAAAGCTCACCCTTGTGAGAAACCTTAGAAAGGGGAAAAGAGTGCAGCACAGCTCTTAATTAAGTCTTAAACCATTGTTAAAATATCTTAGATATAGATAACATATCACTCTCAAGTCTCACACTTTCACAACTCTCAAGTCTCACACAGACACTAAGTACCAGTAGAAGCCACAGATGTAGATGTGCCAGCCCCAGATGTGCCAGCAGAAGCAACCCTAGATGCATCTTCATCAAGATAGAGATTCTCGAAGGAGTCTTCCAACTCTTGGTTGTCAATAGCATGCTACAACCTTTTTTCTCCTAACTCCCAATCCTTTATGCAAGCCAGCATCTCCACAGTTTCAGGCAACAAGCGTCGTCGTCGCTCTTCAATTATCCTTCC